AAAAAAAAAAAAATCACGATATACATTTTAACTTTTTAAACTTTTCACGTGTAAAAAGGGGAAAGAAAGAAATAGGCGAGAGGAGAAAAAGTAAGAGACGCGAGTGACTGAGGATGCTTTCAAAAGAATCTGTCAAGTTTCAAAAAAAAAAGAAAAAAAGAAAAAAAAAAGGAAACGGAAGGGGAGAAAGAAATGGCTTTAAATTTTCCAGTGTTGTTTCCTTTTCTTTTCTTTTTTTTTTTTTTTTTTTTATAAGTCTGAAAAATAGCGAAGAATGTCGTAACGTTGTGAAAACAGAGAAAGAGAGAGAGAGAAAGAAAGTGTGAGAGAGAAAAGAGACACACATAGTTCTGGTTGGCGTTCGGCATTCGAAGAGATTCGTCGAGTTTTAAGCTTACGGGAGAATCGCCTGTCTCTTTATGCGTGTGTGTCTTATGTTTCTTCCACCTGTTTTCCCTTTCCAACTCTTTTCAACTCCCTGATTCACCGACGAAAAGAAAAAAAAAAAAATCGAATAACGAGGGAAGAAACCTGTAAAACGCGCTGTTCAAAACAACAAACGTTCCGGCCACGCACCATTCGTTCATTTACAGGCAAGAATTGCGTATCGATAGAAAAAGAGGAAAAGATAAAAAAAAAAAAAAGAAGGCGTATGGCCAAGGGCACCGTTCTATCTATTTAAAACAGAAAAAAAAAAAAGGGAGAAAAAGGAAAAACGAAACTCGTCTCTTGAAGAGAGAAAATCGCACACAAGAAGTAATCGATCCTTGTTTCCTAGGTACCCAATATCGTTCCACGAGCACGCAACGAACGACTGTTTTGAATTTCTCGAGAGAAATATTTTTATCGCAGCGTGGTGGATCACGTTCAATTAAATTTTGATAGAAAAACGACAGATACGATCGTCCGCAGTGTGTTACCGTTCGGACGTTCGGACGTGTGCGTTTATTTTTTTGAATCGCGAATCACCACAGATACTTACGGCCCATGGGTATACTTCCTTTACGAGACCATAGAAGAACACAGATTCTGTTCAAACTCTGAGTGAACGGCCTCCAGCAAAGAGAAGAGAAAACGACAGGGAGAAAGAGACAGAAAGAGAGACAAATCGAATAAGAAGCGTAATCCTAGAAATCTATAATTAACTTAATACTAACTAAGATCCTAGGCGATTCGAGTCTTATAAAAAATAAGTTCATTTAAGGTGTAAAACTGTTATATGAGATTCCGACCACTGGCTCGGTGTGTAAGTCGTGAATGCAAAACAAAAATTAGCAGACATATCATTTAAGACAATACACTTGTTACAGAAACTACGT